AAATAAATAAATAAATTGTACAATTCATGGGAATTAATAACTATACTAAAAACCTAGGACTTACACTCTCCACAGCAGGAAATAGAGCAGAACCTAGACATCTTATTAAGTCCCTGAAGCATAGTCAAAGAAGAAAAGGAAACTTCTCAGACTGTGATTGTTACAACCATGGGCATAAGAAATTAAAATCATTTTATAATTCTCTGAGCTCTTCAGCTTTCTCCTAAATATGCCTTGCCTGCTCTTTTTCTTTTTTTTCTTTCCTGTCTTTCTTTCTGTTGGGTTTGGGAGGATTGAACCCAGGGCCTTCCCACTGAGCCACACCCGTAGCTCTTTTTAAAATTTCTTATTTTGAGACAGGGCCTCGCTAAGTCACTTGGTTGCCCAGTCTGGCCTCAAACTTGCTATCCTCCTGCCTCAGCCTCCTATAGTCCTGAGATTACAAGCATGCACCACCATGCTGAGCCTTCTCTCTCTCTCTTTTGATTTTTAGGCAAAGTCTTGGACTGTAGTTCAGATTGGCCCTTAACTCACTATATAGCCCAGTCTGGCCTCAAACTTGCTATCCTCCTGCCTCAGCCTCCTATAGTCCTGAGATTACAAGCATGCACCACCATGCTGAGCCTTCTCTCTCTCTCTTTTGATTTTTAGGCAAAGTCTTGGACTGTAGTTCAGATTGGCCCTTAACTCACTATATAGCCCAGTCTGGCCTCAAACTCACAGCAATCCCCCTACCTCAGCCTCCCCAGTGCTGGGGTTACAGGCATGTGTCACCATGCCTGCTCACCACCTTTTTGAGACAAGGTCTCACAATATATTCCAGACTGGCCTTGAACTTGGGGTGATCCTCCTGCCTCAGCCTCCTCAGTGTTGGGATGATAGATATGCACCAACATGTGGGGCTCCACACATTATTTTAAAAGCAAGAAAATAATAAATGCGAATTTCAGGGTACTTTTTCTGAAAAGCAATAGGATAGGGAAATATATTAGTAATTATGATATCAAGTTTTTAGTTCTTGACTTGTGTAGCATATAAAAGATTTTTTTTTTCTTATCTTTTTGAGACAGGGTCTGGCTATGCAGTTCAGGCTGGCCTTGAGCTTACTTTGTAGCCCAGGCTGGTCTTGAACTGGAAATGATCCTCCTGCCTCAGCCTCCTGAGTGCTGGGATTACAGGTGTGCACCACCACACCCGGCACATATAAAAGACTGCACTGCAAAAGATCCTTTTTATTGTGAAGAAATAAAATAATGCAACTTGATGAGCCAAATCACACAGCATCTGCAGAACAGAACCTGGCCATGGAAAAAGATGTCAGGGAGCGGCTGGACCATGACTCCCTTTCCTTTCTACTGGACTGTGGCAGTGCACACCTGCAGTCCCAGCACTGGGGAGGCTGAGGCAGGAAGATCACTCGGAGTTTTGAGGCCAGCCCGAAGTACACAGTGAGAACTTGTCTCAAAACAACAACAAACATGGCAATCTCGCATAGCTGTTTATATTTACCCCTTTCAACCCTTGAACAGCCCTACAGGTGGACACAGGGAGCTGTAGATATACAGAGAATCACGGCCATTGCTCCCTGCTAAGCCCGCAGCCTTCCCCTCTCGGCTGGGTCCCCAAGCCCCTCAGGGTCCTCAGGACCTGGGTCCTCAGCCTTGTCCTCGAGCCCCTCCCACCCAGCTCAGGGTGCACACACGAGAGTCACCTCTGTCCCGGGAGCCTTCGGGGACGGCCTTCACCGTCTACCTGAGGGTAGGCATGCAGCCCCGCCCCGACTCGGTTTATCCCTGCACAATGAGGCCACTTCCGCTTTCTAGAAAGTCCCCCCTCAATAAGAGCCGACACCGGCAACCCCAGGTGAGCCCCCGGCCCCCCCACACTGCAGGGAGTCAGGGCACATGCAACAGTTCGATGTTTATTTCCAGAAAGCGATGTGGACAGTGAAAATGCACCCGGACACCACTCTCTGCACAATAAATAGCCTCCCCCGTTCAGAAAAAGGAAGAAAAAAGAAAGAAGCGCGTATGTACAACCAACAAGGCGGGGCTCGCCAGCCCCTTCCTCTGCTCCCCAAGCTCTCGTCCCCAAGGGGGGCCGGGCCAGCTCCCGCGGTCCCCAGGCCTCGCCCTGGCGCTGGCTGTTACCGAGTCCCCGGGTCTTTTCCTGATCGGACACGAACACGAGCACAGAGCTGGAGTCGCCCCCAGGACGCGGCGGGGCCCAGCCCTCCCCCGGCCCGCCCGCCCCGCCGGCTGCGCTGTCCGAGGCCTCCCGGCCGCGGCGTTTTGTTCTCCACTGCGCAGGCGGCTACAGTTCGGGCAGGCGCAGGAGCGGGCGACGCTCCGGGACGCAGCGAGTGAACCCCAGAATCCTCCTTGGCCTCCCTCCCCGCCGAGCAACCACCGAAGGGGAAGGGCGGGGGAGCGGGGTCCTCCCCGCCCGGGGCCCCTCTCCCAGGGGATCGGTGGCCTCCGACCTAACGACGCCGGATCCGTCCGTCGGCTCTGCACCCTCCGCTCAGTTGGGGAAATAGTTATAAAACTGGCCTTCCGCATCCTTATCAAAAGGAGAAGGGGCCCCCGCAGGGGACGAGCTGTCGCCACTGGAAGGGTAGGGGGACACCCGTCTCCTCTTGGAGTCCCCTTCGCCCAGTCCTGAGTCGCAGGGCTCTGGCCGGAGGGGGGTGACCTCAGTCCACAGTGCCGGGGAGGCCTGCTCGTCCGCCCGGCCCTCGGGCGCTCCCGGGCCAGGTTCCACGGGCAGAGTCCGCATGGGGCGGAACCAGCTGGCTGGGCCCATCTTGGGGGGGTACTGGGGGCCCACGGGCCACCCGGCCCCGGGGCTCAGGACCTCCTGGCTGCGGTAGTAGGGCACGGTGGGCCCGGGGGCGGACGGCAGGAAGGCCGGCTTCACGCTGACGCCGCGGAAGTCCGTCTCGTAGCCGTGGTCCCGGGGGGCGCCCAGCCAGTAGGGCTGCGAAACCACTTCCTTGGCCTGGCCGGCTAGGTCGGGGTAGAAGCGGCTGGGGACGGGGTACTGGCTGGAGAGGAGAGGCGGGTAGGGGTCTCCCCCGAGCAGTTGACAGTTGGGCCCAGGCGGAGAGGGGACGCTGGCGTCAACAGATGCATACATGCTGAAAAGAACAGGAAGCAGAACACAGCGGTCACAGCGCGGCCAGGCACCTGGGGCCGAGCGCGGCACGTCCCTCCCCGGACCGCCCCGCGCCTCCCTCGCCTGCAGCCGGGAGGGGACTTGTCCCGAAGGACCCAGAGCGGCTGGAACCCGGCGGCACTTACGACTCGAAGTTCTCCCGGAATCCTTTGGCAAAGGGGTTGTTATCAATTTTCAGCTGTGTGATCTAGAGAGAGGGGACATGGGGTCACCCGAGCCCTGAGTCCAAGAACTTCCCAAACCCCTCCCACAGGAGACTCCAGCCCACGGCGGCCCCCACCTTCCCGGCCGGCTCACCTCTGCGTTCTGGTAGGCGGTCACAGCGATGAACTGCGTCTCTTGGAAGGTGAAGACGTGTGTGTTGGACGCAGTGCAGGCGGCCTCGGGCTCACTGTCCTTCACCTCCACGATGTGCAGCCGGGGCTGGTACTTATGCAGGGACTGCAGCACGATCATCTGCAGAGCGGGCGACAGTCCGAAGTGGTGGAGGGAGGCCCACGGGTCCCTGTTCCGCCCTGGCCTATGGATGGACTCCCAGCCTGAGGGATCCTTTTTGTCTCCTTTGCCACCCCCAGAAACCCACTGTGACCGAAGTATTAGCATAAGAGAGGGGGCCTTAACACTGGGTGCGGTGGCACATGCCTGTCATTCCAGCACTTGGGAGGCTGAGGCAGGAGGATTGCCAAGAGTTTAAGGCCAGCCCGGGCTACATAGTAAGCTCAAAGCCAGCCTGAACTTCATAGCAAGCCCCTGTCTCAAAAAAATTAAAAATTAAAAAGGACTTAAAGGACAGTGTCACCCCCAGGACCTCCCGTTGCCTCAGGGGTCTTGGGCTCCTGGGGACAGCCAGCTGGAGGGCAGGAAGGCCGACCTGGGTGACGTTGTTGGAGGCGCCCTTGTTGTTGGTGAGCTTCAGCTTCCCGAAGGAGACCTCCTGGCGCATCCAGTGAGCGCCAGTGTTGGGGGAGTCCGGGTGCACGTAGAGGCGGTTTCCTGCGGACAGGGATCAACAGCTTTGCCCGGCCCTGTCACACCAGGGTGAGGATGGGCTCTGCTGCTCGGTGGGGTGGGCGGGACGATGGCTTGGGCAGAAGACAAGCTAGAGGGAAACAAGCTACAGGGAAGTGGCAGGTAGGGGCGGGGCAGGCCCTGGAGTTCAGTCTTGGGGGTGAGAGCCCAGGGGATCCAGCAGGGGGCGCCACCACTCCCGGGGGCACATACCTGGCATGCTGCCCTCAGCCTTGCCGCACTGCACCCACTTGCCGCTCTGATAGCGCCAGTGGTGCTGGTCCACCAGGACCACGTCCACAAACATCCTGTAGTGGCTCGTGGGTTCCAGCCCGGCCACAGTGAAGGACAGGAACGGGAACATCCGCCTGTGAGGAGAGACAGCCCCCAGTGTCATCTGCCCCAGCTCGGTGGCTGGTCATCGGGTACACACGGCGTGCCCAGGCCGGCCTCCTCCCGCTCACCAGAGCCCAGGAAGTCAGCTGGCCAGGTGGGAAACACAGGCGTAGGTCACCATTAAAGTGTTACAATTTTTTTTTTTTTTCTTTTTTGAGGCCAGGTCTTAGTAGCCCAGGCTGGCCTTAAACTCTTATTGATCCTCCTGCCTCAGCCTCCTGGGTGCTGGGATGACAGGCGTGAGCCACCGGGCCTGGTTTAAGGTTTTTGTTTTGTTTTGGTTTGTCTTTCTTTTCCCCTTTTCTCTTTTTTGGGGCTGAAGATTGAACCCAGGACCTTACACTTGCTGGGCAGCCGCTGAGCTACATCCCCAGCCCCCAGGGCACTTTACATGCTTGCTCCTTAGAGTGTCACCCCGTCCCTACACATAGCTTTCAGGAGGCCAAAGGCGCAAGGCACAGTCCCAGTCCCGGCCCTACTCCGGACTCCTAGGCCGGTGGTGCGGCACACAGCCCTTCCCTCCACCGCCATGTTCGAGGCCAGACTGGGATACATAGTGAGACCCTGCCTCAAAAAAATAAATTGGCCAGGGATATAGCTCAGGGGCACAAGTGCCTGCCTGGCAAGCAGGAGGTCGTGAGTTCGATTCCCGGTACCAAAACAAAACAAAACAAAAATATTTAAAATATTAAAGAAAAAAAAGCCTCCTCCTCTGAGACTAGCTCCACCGCTTCCACCACCTCCAGGCCCATTATCTCCAGCCTCACCGCCACCCTCCACCATCACGGCCACCAACGGCTGGGCGCCGTCTCCACCATCCGGGCAACTTCGGCAGCCGGGGTCGCCGTGGCTACAGGCCCACCCCTTCCCGCCATCGCCAGCCCCCAGCCACTGCTCATCGACTCCACAGTGCCCACCTGCAACACCAGCATCCGCCGCGGCCGGGACCAGACCTTCCCTCTAGCCACGCCCCCCATCGCCTCCACCACCCACGCTGCCCTCGCGCTGCCACCAGTCCGCCAGCGCCAGCTCCCAGCCGGCCGTCTCTCTCTTCCAACCCGAGCAGGAAGGGCAGGGTCATCAGAATGGCAGAAGCAAAGCTTCGTCGGAAGTGCTTTTCATCCCTGCCTCCCCTCCCCCTCCTCCCTGCCTTCCCCACTCCCCTGCCCTCGTCCCTGACTCAGGAACCCTGGGGTCGGGGGAACAGTTCCAGGGTCCCCACACTTTTTGATGGGTGCCAGTGCCCAGCGGGTCCCCAAACCACATCCCTACCAATCTCAGGGAGGTCTCCCAGGAGGGCACCCTCATATTCCTATGTCCCCCAGAATCCTGGGCTCTGGAAGGAGATTGTTGGCACCACAACCTTGGCTAAGTACTCCAAAACCAAATCTCAGTTTCTTCACCTGTAAACACAGATAGTAACTCCGGTCCACCTTTCCCCTGCAGGCTGTTTAGAAGCTCAAAAGATGTGAAACTCAGGCCAGATGCAGGAGTGCACACCTGTATTCCTGGTACTCTGGGAGGCTGAGGCAGGAGGATCCCAAGTTCAAACCCAGGTTGGACATCTGAGTGACTCAACAAGACCATATCTCAAAGTTAAAAATTTTTAGCTGGGGGTTGGGGATATAGTTCAGTGGCATAAGCACCTGCCTGGCAAGAGCAAGGTCCTGAGTTTGATCCACAGTACCAAAAAAAAAAAAAAAAAAAAAGGTTCCTTAAAAAAAAATTTTTTTTTTTAGCTAGGCCTGTCATCCCAGCACTTGGGAGGCTGAGGCAGGAGGGTAGTGGTGAGTTCAAAGCCAGCCTGGGCTACATAGGGAAACTCTTCCTCAAAAATGCAAAAAACAATATTTCCAAACTGTTTCTCAAACCATTTCAACCTCTGACCGTGGTAAAGCTGTTCAGCTGTTTCTTTTTTTTTTTTTTTTTTTTTTTTTGGGAGGGTGTTTTCTGGTACCAGGAATCAAACTCATGACCTTGCGCTTGCCAGGCAGGTGCTGTGCCATTGAGCTAAATCCCCAGCCCATTTTTCTCATCTTTTTGAGACAGGGTCTGGCTATGCAGTCCAGGCTGGCTGGCCTTGAGCTCACTTTGTAGCCCAGGCTGGTCTTGAACTCGCAATGATCCTCCTGCCTCAGCCTCCCAACTGCTGGGATTACAGGCGT